TTCCTTAAAGGAGGCAGCACAATGAAAAAGGCAAAGAATCATCAAAAATGTAGTTAAGACAGACTAGCACTGTGCATCACCTCACTTATGCACCCTTTCTACCATAAATAATGCATAGATCCCAGTCTCATTTACATTTGCAGCCAGGGCTTGCACCTATGTAGAGAGCACAGGCTGAAGCACGACACCTGTACCCGCACATGTCCTGAGACATTTCTGTACCCCAGTCCAGTCCTTTCCTCAAGGCAACTCTATACAACACAAGCAATCTGCACTTCCATATTTGCAATACTTAAAAGCAAAACAACATGATCATCGGTCTGTACTTGTTTCTAGGACAGGAAGGAAAAAGAGATGGCTATCGATGTGGCCTAAAAATTTACATGTGTATAAGCTTGTGGAGAAAGCTAGTGTGTGAAAGGGGCTAGAGGATTGAACGTGCCTTTGTTCAGCGTAAATGTTCCTTTGTTTACTGAGAATCAAGGCAGGGGAATCAATTGCTCAAGAACCCAAACCTAGCTGACAGAAGATACCTCTCCAAGTCAGCCAAGAGTTTCCCTTGGGGTCGATAAAGCAGAAGCGACTGGGATTTTGTATGCTCTTTGTAAATAACTCCTAATCTACCTTTTCCCACCACTTTTTTTCTCAACAAACAACCCAAAATGTTACTGAGAAACAGCTCAGTGATAATATCACCTCTGTTTGTCTTCCACAAACTGCACTGTAAAAATCTATCTTAAAAATGAACTTGGCTTTCCCCTGTCTGCAGAGAAAGATGAGAGTAATGCAAAAATCAGCTGCAGTAGAAATCTATGAGAAACAGGACCTCAGCTCCTTCCTTATGCTAACCTGCTAGACTTATATCAACCCAAGGATTTAGGAAAACTTGGGTAGCAGGTGGAGAATACAGAGACCACTGGTAGAAGACAAACTACTAGAACACAACACACACTGCTTGCCAAAATAAAAAGCCCTGCTGAGATAACTCAGGAGCCTGTGCTTAATTCTAAGGATAATTAGGATTTGCCCTGAGCCAAAGTGGATATAAATAGCAACCGAAACCTGCTAGTATCTTTCCTCCATCAGTTGGGCCATGAACTGTTTGGCAAAAGGGACCCTTTGTGATACTAACAAGTCGTTTGCTCAATCACAGCGTATCAGCACTGACTCATGCAAGTTGCAACGGGTTTTAAATGCCAGGGAGAGCTGGTCTTTTGTACTCTGGCAGCTCCTCACTGCTGCTTTATACCACTCTCTCAAATTAAGAGTCTGAAATAAACGCAAAAAAAAAAAAGGAAGGAAAAAAAAACTATTATGTCAGTTGCTTCACAGTGTTTAGTGCTCCCCTGGAGCTTAATTATGTGGGAACTGTGATATGCAGTCTGTCAGCTAGAAGGTGGCAGATCCCTGTGGCACAGTTTGAAAGGTGTGTTGTGAAACACTACCCATTTGCTCTAGACCTACAGATACTGTATGGCATGCCCTGTGAAAACCACAGGTTCCCACAGTTGTGTGTGGGTTCCTCATGGTTCTCACCTGCGGTGTCTGTGGCAATGTGCTCCCAGATTCAGCTTCCAGCACCCTCATGCACACTGTAGTTTGATTCTTCAGCGAGCAGAATGGCACATAAATACTTCCATCTTCACCAAATAAACAAACTCACTCATGTTAGTTTCCTGCTGCTCTAAAACTCTAAGCCACTTTCAGGACTCAGTGATCAACACCATAAATTTACAAATTTCCAGTCTCTAAATCAGGATTATAGCCCTGGGAGGTGGTGTATTGCCCCCTAGGAATGTGATAAAGAGCCCTTCACCATAATTCTGACGTGAAGCAGTGCAGAGACCATCATTCAGAATATCTTTCCAAATGTATTGTATAATTTCCTATGCTTTTATTTTTGAAATTATAAGCATTAGAATCATTAATTTCTAAGGCTCTCTCCTGTGTTGGTGTCTAGCTGCCATAAAGAAAGAAAACTCGAAAATTTCTGTCCCAGTTTATGTTTTCCATTTGCAAGCATTCATTCTATTCTCAAAATTAACGAGGAACAGCTTCTTCTTCTACTACATGCAGGACGTGCCTTCATAAACTTGTCACATCCTGATGTTTGTGGCATATGGTATTGAAAATATTCCCACTGCTCAGAGTGAGAGCTGTTACAATTATTTAAGCAACAGTTTGTTAATTTGGGATTCAATCCTACAGTGCATCAATATTTCTCTCATGCTTTTACACTGAACAGTATAATGAAGATGCCCCATGAAATTTCATAAAGGATGAGTTGGACAATATATTTTGGGGGCCTTTAAGAGAAAATTTCATTTCAAATAGCATGTGCATAAGACACTCTTTTCTTCTTCCTTTTACAAAGTAGAGAGGAACAAATCCTCATCTTATTTGTGATACCATGAAATAAAGGAAGATCTATGTTGTACATGAGGAAAATCAGCCTGTCTTGCTTTACAGTTTGAGGAATATAGGCTGTGCCTTACAGAAGCTAGATATATTTCTTGCCCTGGCTGCCTTGTAAGTTGAAATATGACAGCACAGAAAACAAGAGATGAGAAATTGAAGTCTTAAGAATAAGGCCAGAAGGCAGGACTTCTTCAGAGATTTAATATGGAACTAGTATTAAAAGATAGAATTGGGCAGTGGATAACATGGTTAGTCCTCCAGATATACTGGGCAGCAGGATGTCAGATGGGGTCAAAGAGGGGCAAGATCACAGCCCTGTAAAAATACATGGAGTTAAGTGGTTGTTTTCCATGAAGAAACTATTTCTTATCTGCTCCCTCAAAATGATGCTCTAAGTGTGTCTGAGTGTAATGCCAACCCAGCTCACTTTTCCCAGAAGATTACTGAACCGCCACTGGTAAATGGTTTAGCTACCCATATTCAGCTAGTTGTTGGGGCCAGGTGGGGAGTGTAGAGAAGATAACCGGGTGGTTTTATGGTATGCTGGTACGCTGGTTTGTCGGGGCCTCCTGTAGCCTCCTTCCCTCCTCCCATTTTCTGGGTGATAGATGGTGTGGTTTTGCTCATTCCTTCACAATGAACATTTTTGCCTACCCTTCCCAGCACTTGTGTAGCCACAGCTTCTTACTGTAATGGCTGACTATTGTCTGGTCATTGCCTACTTATTTTTGCAATTACCTGAGAAAGGTAATCTTTCATACTTGACAGAAGGGGTGATCAAGAACGGAATAACTCATCTCTAGTAGCACAGGCTATTTTGTGCACAGGTAGTTGAATGAGGATTTCCAAGATTAAAGTGACGTCCTAATTTACTGGCTGTAAATCTTAAGCCATACTTTGTTAGCACTGAACTCTTCAGGGATTCCAAACTGAACTGTATGCCGTTATTTCTCCACAATACTTGCTATCCTGCAACACTCTTCTTTCTTCTCCTTCCCCCTGAAATCATAAGACCTCGCATTGAGGCCAAGCTTACAGACAGCTACTTGATCCAGTCTGACTGCTAAAGCCTTGTGCAAAACAACACAGGTAAAAAGGAAAACAGGAACGCTCAGCTTTCTCTGAAACTTATTTACAACATAGCAGCAGCTAAAGAATACAGTTATGGCATGCATGAAAAAGCAACCGTGGATGTTCTCCCTTGGAAAGCCTCAGAGTGAAAAATTAAGGCAGGGCAGGTGAATTGAGAGATGCATATGTTAAGCACATTTCCTATCTTGCCCTAATAATGCTGTATTCTGAATGCAGCAGCACACACTGCTTCTAGTCTTTAACTATCCATTCAGACATGACCATTAAGCGTATTCAGGGGAAAATACAAACGTGAGAAATATACCATGACATCCTGTAGAAAAGACACACAGGAAAAACAGAGGGCAAACTCAAGGGCAAGCAAACAAGAAACGTGCTGCATAAAACACAGAATTCAGAGAGGTGGGATAACTGCTTTAAGTAAAAACAACAAAAAAACCCCCAGGCTCCTTCCCCCACATACTGTCAGATTTATGGTTTCTGTTCTTGAAATCTAGGGCAGTCAGAATAATCAAATTTTGATACTTCCTTAGGTCTAGCTAGACCAGATGTAATCTAGCTCTCAGATGAAAGATCTGCCAGGGAACAACAAACACACAAAGACGATTGTTAACAAAATCCTTTGCAGGGCAAGTTGACCTGATACATTATTGTGAAAAGAAACAAAGCGATGGAAACAGCAACATAATTTGTATTCAAATAGAATAGTGTGCACAAGGATACCACAGGAACTTGGGACAACAGCCATACCAATCTTTCTGTCTCTACTTTTGGTCCTAAAGCATTCTATTTGACTTTATTTTTGGCACCGATGGTATTCTCATTTGTCCACAAATTACACTTGAAAAGAATCACTTATTTTAGATTTCACTTAGATTTACCTCTGATTGGGAAATTAACTTTTTACAGTCATGCCATCTAGCAGTAGTTTTCAGTTGCATGATATCTTTACAGGACTTGAGACAGGATGTATCCGATGTAAACACTGAACAAGCAGTGAAAATAGCAGCTTAAAATTTAGTTGAAAGCACACAAGTAAGAAAACAATAGACTAGCTAACATTTCCCATTCAGACATCTAAAGTTGATCCCCTAAAATAAAGGTTGCATCTGCATGTGTAGATATTATCTTTAGAACACCCTTAACCACAGTTTCCATGAGGGGTGGGTAGCCTCAGAAAACTCCAAAGCTTCTTGTTTCTCAGCTACAAAGTAAGTAAAAGCTACATCAAAATGGAGATTTCCTGGGGCCTTCTCCAGTTTTCTCAGCCTCTCTCGACTGTATTAATCATATCAGTTAGGACAAATTTCCTACTTCCATCACATCAATCATTTTGAGTTACCTGAAGAAACTGTAGAGCAACTAGAGAAAGCTAGGTCAATGTGGATACTTGAGATAAAATAAGGTGCTTCCTCAGGAACAATGTATTTTTAGAAAATTGGTGTAAGCTATGCCAAAACTAGAAAGGAAAAATATTAATCATAGATTACCTGAGTGCCTACTCTAAAAGCAGCTTCCACTTGAGCTTTAAGGATGTTGCACTTCATATGGTCAGGTACAGATGAAGGTGACACAGGGGCATGAAGAGTCTTTTCAGATACTTTCTTGTCTTCACCCTATATTTAATACAAAAGACAAGCACAGTGACATATATTAGAACAATGTTAACGAAATGGTCAAAGGTCGAATTTTTACTTGTAACAACTCGATTCAGCAATACTGGATAAAATTTCCATGTTCATACCCTGATAGATACATAGTAGAATAAAAAGTTTTAAAAATATTTAATGACTTGATACTATTTTCAAGACATGAAAAGCCTCAGGGAAGTCTGAGTAATAGAAGCAAGAAACTGATGTGAAGATACATGAAAAACACCCAGCCAGGCCTTGGAGTGGTTGCCCAAACCTGTGATCGTGCTGAGGAAGCAAAATGTTGTCTCAAAATATCCCACAGCAGACAGAAAAGGGAAATTTTCAGAACACTCAGCTATTGGTTTCTTACACCACCTTAAGAATGTAAAGGGGCTTTGCAAATCTAAGCAGATGGATGTGAAGGGATCTCCACGTAATTGCAAAACAAGCAAAATCTCCTTCATCAGAATGAAAAGACAAATCCAGGGAGTTTAAACATTGCTGCTGTTGTTTCCACTTGATGTCTACCTTTTATCTACGCAGTGATCCGGATCAGAAATCTAAAGCCTCAGGACAGCTAGTCTAGTGACCTGTTCAAACACGACCTAAAGGTTTTGTGCCTTAAACAAACTACATCCAGCAGAAATGCCAGCATAAATAAACCTCCTGTGCAGAAAAGAAAAAAAAAAAAAAAAAAAAAAGGCAAAAAAAGGACAATGTAATACTAATGTATAAACAAAGAGGTTATGAATGAGACCAGGTTTGCAAACGCCAACTCTCAAACAATCAAACTGTAATATCTTACATATTTTTATTCGGGCGATGGCATAACAACCATTGCAAACTTTCCTATTCTTCCTGGAAATGAGACCTGAATTATGACCTAGTCACAGCCAAGGTTATGCATTCATTTTCCACTATCATTGCTGTGAAGTGAGAGCGGTCGTACACACCCAGACAGAACAGATGCATAATGTCGTCATTCAGATTTCAGCCAAAACAGGTAGGAGGCATCAGTAAACCAGGTCCAAGCAAATCCCTGAGGTTCACCTCTGGTAAAGTATTTCATGACAGAACTGGTAATTTTTTAGCCACTGAAACTGTCATATGACTAGGTCTTTAACTTCAAAACCTGCTGCCTTCATCTTTCCTTCTGCCCTCCCACCTTAGCGACTCTTCTCTCGGGCCCACAAACAATCACAGACAAAAGGGAACATCAAGATTCAGGGGGAACTTTCTGCAAGTGGAGCAAATCACAAATGTAATTATGTTGCCTGAGGAAACTGTTCTGCAAACACTGGGGAGAGAAAGAGCCAGACCTCTGCAGAACTCTACTGAGACTGCAAGATATTTCCCATGTGTAAGCACAGTTGGTCTAGCAGACTTCTGCATCCAAAATGCCTTAGCTGCCAGGTATGATTTTAAACAACTGTCTGTTAAAGGATTGCTTATCATGAGATTTTTTCTCTAGCAAATTTCTAATATTTCTTACATGATTTTTTGCTGAGCCACATTTACTGTTTTTAGGGGAAGATATTTTTTGACTTTTCATTCTCCACACCTTCCTCAAAAGGGAAAAAGAAAATACTTAAAATGAAAAGTGACAGCATCTAGCTGGAGCAACTTATGGAACTGTAGTCATCTATTCAGTCTTGAATGTAACGGTAGTTCTGGCAAGCATATGAAAAAACCCCATGACATATTTGTTTGCTCTAAGTGTCTTTTCTGGGATACTCACGAAGCTGAGAAGTGGAGATACTCAAAGGACAAAATTAACTGTAAAGAAAGCACAACTTTTCCTTCACCAATAGTCTTGGTAGCCACAGTGCGCTACTACATACTTTAAAACGGCTGCTATTATTGACAACTTTTAAGTGTATTGATTTCTAACAGCAGAAAGAACGACACACTAAGCAGTGGCATTTCTAAAGGCCATGCAAAACCCCACCATTGTTTTAAGACTGAATACAAATAAAATATCGTTTCAGTCAGGCAAGATTAAGCAACTGTACTTTACTAGCTAAATCAATACAACTGTGCTTGTTTAGGACACAAGCTTATTTTGTAAAGTTCCAAAGTCCCATCCATCTGATATTCAGATGGATATGGATATTTTTCATCTGTTCTTCCTCCAGTCCTTACGTTCTTCCTCCCCTGCCCAATTTCTCCATATTGACCAAAGGCATGACAAAAGCCCTCGGGGCTGCCCTCAAAAGGTCTAACTCACCTGCTGTATTCAGGGTTATACCAGATGGCTCCATGTAATGGAGACCGTCCCCAGTGTGGGATCTGATGTGCAAGTCTCACATTGAGACTCTCATAACCTGAGAGGTCCAAAGGCTGATGCTCGCTGACCAGCATGAAAAGAGATGCTGGAGACTGCAGACTTCTTAGAAGCCGTTCCTGGGCATTCAGTTCTGCTCTAGCCCTTGTTTGGGTCACACTTTAAGGGTTTCACCTTCAGGCAAGGAAAATTTGCTTTGCTTGCACTCCACCAGGAGCAGCAGCGCCTTCAGTGACTGATCACACACGAAGAGCAGACATTGCTGCAATCGCTGCTTGGCCTTGTCCTGCTCACCAGATGCTGAGCCAGCAGCCGAGGGCCACCACCTCTCCCTACCCCAGAGGAAACGCTGACTGCACACAAGTGCCATATGGAGCTTGGGAGTGCTCGACCTGACCCAGACCTCCTCTAGCTTCTGAACATATGTGAAAGATTTCTTTGCCAGCCTGCCTTGGCAACGATGGACTTTTCTGCCAGAGTGCAGCACATCTTGATTCATTACTGAATTCTGCTCTTACACAGCTGATTAGCTGAGACTATTACACACATAGTCAGTGGCACTGAAGATCAAGACTAAAATCAAATCACAGAACAAAGTATCACCTCCTTACTGCAGACTGTTAGCACTTCTAAGTATCTATGTAAGTTCAAATTGTTCCTTAACGCCACTAATCTTTACATATAAGCCTGTTCATCCCCCAATTTAACTCCTAAAGCATGTGTAATTGTCATCAAGAAGGCAAGAGAAAAAAAATATTTCAGGACTATACAAAGCCATACGGTACCTTCTATGGTTCATTTCACCAGTTTATAAGAAAACCAAAGATCTAAAACCTGCTTGCACTAGGAATCTCTATGTACTGTTGCTGCAAGAATGAAAGCTGTAATCGACTTTATTTTGCTGTATAATAAAGAAATCTTACATTTCCAGAATCCTTATCGCTTGCAGTGATGACTGAAGCATAAAGATAGCAGCTGGGTATTTAAGTGTTGTACCAGGTTGGCAGTTATTAAAATTTTCTTTTCATTTATAAACTAAGATCATTGTATGTGGAAGTCATTAGAAAACTAAACATGGTATAACGTTAACGAAACTTCCAATTTTATTATTTCTTACTATGTGATTTCAAAGAATCTGAGATGCCCCTTTCAAGTGAATGAGAGTCAAACTTGCATTTGAAAGAAATAATCTTCTTGCTTAAAATTGCGATCTAAATTCACCCTAAAAGGTATAGAAATTAGGAAAAAACCATTGTTAAGATACCCGATAACACCCCAATTCACCATCTCCAGTTCTGCTGGCAGTAAAAACTAGCAATGTGTTCAGATCACTTTCACCATTGATGCAGAGCTTTATTTTTCCAGAGGAGAACACTGGAGAATTGCATTTAAATGGGTTTGATAGAAGTGGGTTGAACAAGCTGAGATATATACACACATAAAGCTACATGCCTTTTTTTCTTTTAATAATGGAGGTCTTAGGTTTGCTTTTCTCCTACCAAACATTTACTTTAAATTCAATTACATCTGCTGATGCTAGAACCGAAGGCAGATTTGTACAGTGTTAGATAATGATGACACTGGCTTTGGTTTGCAAAGCTAACTGAATATTAAGTACATGCACAGAATATACAAATAGTTGCATGAAACACAGCAACACCACTCCTGTACTTAATATTTCAATTCTCTCTGCTTTAAGAGGTTCATGCTTTGTTCCACATCAAACAGTGTACCAAGAGCAAGATTCATGATATTTTGCCTCTGTATAATTTATCAACAAGCTCTTCTTAGCCAAACAGTACATTTAAAACACACATTTATCTGGAAAGGTCTGAAGGATAGAATTAATATTTTTTTCAGGAATGCAGGTTTACTCTTTGTAGCTAGTCATCACTACTAGTGGGAGGTAAGATTTTAATGGAGACAGCACAGATACATAGGTTCTAAATGCACATTAGCTATGTAAGGTCAAACCATTTGTTTCCTGGGACTCAACTACATCTGTAAACGTGCACAAAAATCTACAGACTATTTCGCCCCCTTTCCACCAGGAAATTTATTGATTTTTTTTCTATGTGATATCTAACACCAATTACAGACACCATAATGGTAAAACCTGTATAATTATGTGTTATTCTTATTTGAGGCAAAGCTTGCAAACAAAAGCTGCATCTTTTAGTAGAAAAATACATTTGGAAAACAAACAAAAAAACCCCTCATTAAGCTGCCAGATACATGAGATCTTCCTCAGGTCAGCTAACAGTTGGTCTAATGAAGGAGAATGAAAGACTCCCAATAAATGTTGTTATGCTTATATGCTTGGAGCAAACCTCCTTAGTTCCTGGTATCAAATTTATATTATAAAATGCTATGGCTCAGTATTATTAGATCCTGCCTCTGTCAGTGCCAAGCTTCATGATAGCCTTACTGGGTCATGGTAGCTATGTTCCCCTCTGATCAGTGTATCACACAGAACAGTTTCAGGTATGTCAATGAAGTGAGTTGGTTTGGTGGGTTTTTTTAAACCACAAATTATTTTTGGAACTGCAGTAGCTTTAGGCTTTGCAGTTGTGCATGGTGCAGGTATTTCCACAGCTTTGTTGCAAGTGGTATCATTTGCAAGCAGTCAGTAGTGTAACTGGGTATCCCTGTAATATGGTATTGCCATGCCAGCAAAAGGCCATAAACTCTGAATAGAGTCTGCAAAGCCATTGAGGCTCATCAGGCTCTCTCTGTCTGAAACTTTCTCAATACGCCTGCAGCATTGTTTTACTAGGTTTAGCTGTTACAGCAATAATTTTATATAGAAAACAGTAACATAAGCAGTTATTCTTTGTAGAATGAGATATTTAGGACTCTAACACAATGATGTAGTATAAAGCCACACAGGGCTGGTATGATAATAGAGGCCTTGAGAAGGGGAGACACGGGAGGTAGTGTAGAGAAGCACAGGCATGAGGCAATAATGCAAGGGGCACGGGCTGGCCCTGGAGACCCTACGGCTATAAACAACTCACCAGTGGCCAGTTAAAGAAGTGCAGACCTGGAGCTGGACAAAACTGGTTTTAGGGAGAACGAAGAGAGCAAAGGCACAGCATCTAGGTTATATATGTAAAAGTCACCATGTATAGTAAATCTGGGTCTGACGTGAAGGCGCAGCTCAATGAAGAAAGAGCAAGGTGTAAAAGCATGTTTGCAAACATACAAAAGGACCCGAAGTATATCTTAGAGTGAGGAAGAAGAAACCATGAACATGACTGGATGGAACATTGGAACAGGCTGCCCAGGGAAGTAGCTGAGCAAGTCTCCATCCCTGGAGGTATTTAAAAGTCGTGTAGATGTGGCACTTAGGAACATGGCTTAGTAGTGGACTTGGCAGCGCTAGGTTAATGGTTGGACTCAATGATCTTAAAGGTCTTTTCCCACCTAAATGATTCTATGATTCTGTGACCATCATAACACCCCCTCCAACCCCACCAGAATGAAACCACCAACCTTAGGACCCAGGTGAGCATAATACCAGGAAAAGGTGTAGATACAATGCTAACTGTATTAGTATTATTTATTTTTATGTAATGATTACATCTGGACTAATAATTGCTAGACTCCCAAGATTTCACAAATGCTAACCATACATTCTTGGCTTTATATTATATACATACACATACACACTTGAGCAAGGGGGGATGAGAGAACATATTTTTCTAATGAAAGACTTGCAAGAAAGAAATTCAGAAATACATTCAGAGCTACAACACTTAGGCTTGTCTCTCCTGGAGATTAAGGAGTCTGCTAGCACCGAAGGGCATTAAACGCACGTTGAAACTGACTTTTATTGTTCAGCAGGTGAACAGACACGTCCGCTGTACCAAACAGCTCTGGAAAAGAGATTGGACACATCCATTCATCATTCCCATGAGACGAAGTTTGCTGTAGCAGACAATCAAATTAATTAACTTCTGAATCTAATTTACCCAATTTCTTGTTATTCCTCCTATGGGTTGATTATTAAGCCTGACAAATTCCAGCCCCAAAGCACTTTCCTTGAAAAAATAATAATTAGCAACAGGAAGAGAGGGAGTGAAAGTTGGGACTCCACAAAAGGTGTGGAAACCATCGCTTTATTTCCAGAAATAGAGCAAATGAAGCAGCTATGTAACTGTTTCACTGGTTTTGTTTAAGTGTAATATTTCAGAGGATGCAAAACTAGGGAATAAAAAGCACTTAGTAGCATAGAAATCACTGGAGTGGTGCAGGAGACCTTTTAACGTTTCATTTTTTTTGCCAGCAACTAGACACACTGACCACTCATTAGAATCTGTTCACTGCTGGACTGAGGAGCTAGTTAACTACGATAACCAAAGGAGTTTTAAAGGCCACACTCTAAGAAAAAAATGCTTGTCACAGTTCAGGGCTGTTCAGTCCTGTCTAACCTGCCTTGCTGCCTTTGTGCTGGGCAATGCTCCACAGCATGTCAGCCCAGGGTTAGCCCAATATTTACAGCATGTCCCTCTCTTTCACTGGAGAAGCCATCTGCTGAGGTGACTCCAGGCTCCACTCAAAGCTCAAAGACCTGTGGTTTGTTTGTTTTAGCTTTACGAGCTCTGTGTACACATTTCACTAGGATCTAGGCCAGAAAACGGTGCTTGAAGAAGAAACCACAAACGAAGGGCCAAAAGCACCGGAGAATGATTTGTCGGTCATAACGCACAGACTGTAATGTGAGGGCCTGATTGCTGAGGTGCTTGCCGGTGGTGACTCTGGGCCTGTTTCAAGAGCACGTACAATTTTCAGATGGCTCAAAATGGCAATTTTAATAAATTTTGAGAGACTGGCCTCCTTTGCGTTCACATGGTAATCGCTATTCATGGGATTGCTGCCCAGCTCTTAAGCCCAAACCCTTTATGACTAGCAAGGAGAGGGTTTTCATTAGACAGCCCACGTCTCTAGCCTTGCCTTCTGCTGAGCTTCTGCCAGAAACAGAAGCATTTAGCAGCTACTGGTGCTTATTGCAAGACTTTTCCATCAGCTAAACTTTGATTGATGATAGTCTCACTACACAGGCACAGACACAGGCTGCATTTACTGTGCAGCTTCATTTGTTGTGAAGCACTGACCTGCTGTGATACTGGGTTCTGCTAATTAGTCCTGAAATACATAATTCACCTGACTGTGGACAAGATTCTAGAGTCTTCAGGACCAGAGAAAGAAAACCGGTAATTATAGATCTGAGTTGTCCCTCCACAGATTTTCAGAGAAGAGCAAGAGTATCGGAGGTCAGGCTTTGCCAGGCAGAAGTTACAGGGACTCTACTGGTACTGCTCGCACAGTATGGTGGAAAACGCGACCAAAGTGTTTTAAGCTTTCATTTAAAGAAATAAGAAAGACCATAAATCTACTCATTTTGACATCACAAGGGTACCACTGAGATCATCAGTTTGGATCTTTTGTGCAACACAGGCCAGACTGGTTAATCCACTTGTGCAGCTCAGTCAACATGGAGAAAGTCTCTCACTACTCCACTTCGGCCCTTTATATATGCCAAACTGAGTTGTCAATAAGCTCAATAGTGCAGGACAGTCCTTAAAAGCATGTTTTGGACACTGTACCTAAATGAATCTTCTCAGCTGGGGTTCAGACAGAGTGTCAGCAATTACATCTGAACTACAGTGCTCCTTTCACAAGACCTTGGTATTCACTGGATGAATCTGTGAGATGGACGATCTTCCTTTGGCAAACTATGTCAATGCTTAATTAGCTTTGCCTATAAAAAAACTGTATTTGCTCCCAGTTAAGAGTATTTCTAGAAGAACTTGAGAAATGTCCATGAGAAAAAGATGACTTCTTTTCTACTTCACTCCAGTTTGTCTACTTTATGATTTAACTTTTTATCCCCACTCAAACCAATGAGTCAGACAAAATGACAGGTCCTCACAGCTGATAACCAAACAGATTTGTGAAAAATCCTAAAATATTCCACCTTCAACTGTTCTTTCAGAAGTCTCCAAAAGTCATGACATAGGTCATTGACTCATGACTACATTCATAAGGCATAAGGACTGTAGTCCTTAGCTGTTTTACAGCACCACTCCATGATACACCCTGAACATGGTTGGTTGTTCAAGAAAATATTCATGACGGAAAATCCACTGCATTATGGATTAACTTCACCTAATCTGAATGTTGAAAAAAATATTCCAAGGTTTCATTTTTTATTAGAAACAATTGACTCACTGATTTTCAGCCTTGTCTTCCATCTCCTGGATTCTCTCAACCAGAGAAAAGAAAGATTATGCTATATAGATATACAGCCCCGTTGAGATTGTATTTTTGATACACTTTTCCACCTTCCCTTTGATTTTAATCTCCCTAACACTTGTTGAAATAATATCAATAACAAAAGGCTGTTTGTAAAGCCAAGGTAATTTAATTGAGTTCTCCCTTGAACTGACAGAAAACTCTCAAAACACCACATTTCTTTTAACAAGTCTGTGTAGTCACTGGGGCCCCAGACCCATCTCATTTGAAGCCAGGGGCAATGTTCTCATTGACTTCACTGGGTCCAGCTCAGGACTGATGTGGTTGCACACCAGCTGGTCCAGGCCTCTGTGGTTCTATCGAGGCACCTCACAGTGCAGGCACAGTGAATTTTACCTCACATGGATACAAGGAGCCACTGACCCACTGGCCTCTGATCTCCGGCAGAAACAGTGGGACATGGCTCTTTTGCCACCCCTGCAAAAACTCAGTCATAAAACACCCACTAACATCAGATGACGGGGGGGTGGGGGGAGTTTAAGGCATAACACAGACTCTTCATGTAGAAAAACAGGATTTTTTTTTTATCACTTAAAGTGTTGTTATTTTTTTACAGCTCTGAGCTGCCTAGATGACTAACTCTTCACAACTAAACTAAAACTACATCATAACATTGTTGCAGAAGCTTCAGAAATTTTAAAAGGCAAAGTTGAAGGAAATGCTGAATCTAAAAATGAAACCCCAGTCCTGTAAGGAGATGGTGAGAGGCAATTAAAAAACAAGTCAGTTGCAGATGAACGTGGCTTTGAATTGGAGGTGAAAAAGCAGCAGCTTTTGAATATGAAGTGACAAAGGGGCTCTCTAGCATATATATGTAAAAGTATATATGTATATGCTATACCTTGTTCATGCTGACGTGCAGGGCTGGCCATGGTCCAACTACCTTCACACTCTCCGTTTCTATTTTCTTCAGATGAGAAGTTTCATCATAAAGAAGGGGAAGTCCTGAGCTCAGTTCTAAAAAGATGCCCAAAAGAAAGAAAGAAAAAAACACAGTCTGAAGGGCGGCTACAGAAGAACTGCAGAGCAAGACACTCAGCTGCATTTGTAGAGACAGTGGTCAGCAAACCGTCTTCCCTGTAAGACCCTCTAAAATGTTTCATAATTACGCCTGTTGAGTCATTTTACCTTCTTCTATTTAGCAAACAGTTCCTCCCCCTCCTCATTCTCGTCCATCCCTTCACTTCAGTAGGGCTTTTGCCAGCTTTGGGCTAGATACTTCTCTCCTTACCCCTTCCCGCTTCACCCCCCCCTATATTCTAAAACTCAGTTGACACCAGAGGGATTATTTATGCGGCCAAGGTGCCACTCTCAGAACATGTGATGTGTAAAGAGATCAGAGTATAGCTTTTGGCTTCTCTCAGACATCTTTATTTATATGCCAGCCTCTTTAAGACTGTTGTCAGGAATTTGCTGTGCTTTGTCAACAGAGATTTTGAGCAAGCCACCAACACAGAAAGGCAAGGAAAAATATTTTTCGAGACAGCTCTGAAAGGTCTTTGCCAACATCTTGGGGATGGTGTGGCATATACACGTATATTTGCAAGTACTCTGAGAAAAATGAGCTTCATCATGTGACGATTTAACTAATCCCTGAGTCCTCCCGTATTTCTTTTTGGCATGGATTTTTGGTAATAACCGTTGGGAACAATTCGGTAATCTCTGGAGTCTGATTCAAAGCCCAATCAAATCAATAAAAACCTTGCACTGACTGCAGTTTGGTTTGGATCAGGTTCTTTAGCTGTCCTAAAAGTATTAAATATTACTCACTCAAGATCTAATTCTACAGCTGTTTAAATAAACATTAAAGGCTTTTCTGACTAGAGACAAAGTGCTAAAACTAGCTTATAGGGATATAAGCAAAAAGCTGGTTTTGGCATTGGTGAAACATTATCAGACCCTGAGGTAATAATGTCCTAGAAGGGGTTACAATATCAGTATTGACCTCCCCTTGGTGGTCTCTTATCACAAGTTAGTGATGCCAGAGTTTGGCATTTCTCACATCACAGCTGCTTCCATGGATATGAGACTGTGAAACTGCCCAATGATACCCAGGAATAAATTACCACAGTGGTAAGATGATGTGTAGGTTTGTGTTTTGTTTTGTTTTGTTTTTTTTTCTGAAGAAACACAGTCGTTCTAATTCCCTGTCGAGAAAGAACACAGAGGGGAAAAAGTACCTTATTTAAATTATTCAAGTTTGCTATGATTTAAAACTGAATTTTAAGATTTTGTTTGTTTGTTTGTTTAAAGGGAGAGCTCCAGAAAACAAGCTAGCCAGTTTAGCCTTTTAAATCAACCTTGAAAAAAACCCAAAATTTAAGTCCTACAAAAGGCATACATTTCCTGAGTCAGCATTAAGTCCTGGCAAAACCAGGCTTTCATTTCAAGAAAGGATCTGGCAGCATTGTGGTTTTTCAAAGCACTGTTTTCATCCTGAAACTCAGTCTGTGTTACACCAGTCTCTGCTCAGGGTTACACATGGACTTTCGTAGTGAGCAGTTCAGGAATAAAAGATGTCTTTTTTTTTTTTTTAAGTGATAACCTGCCAGCTCAGCCCACAGAGTTCAAGAGGCAAGCTGGGCCCCCTCTTCTCGTTCATCATTTTCCATCATAAAAATTCTGCGAGCTACATTTTCGTACTCATTGGCATCTGCTTTCAGTGATAGCCCCGGCTGTTGCCGGTAGATCTGCTCACGTGCACCTGGTAATCCATGCACAACGTTGCCATGCCAATCAGGTTTAGCAAGCAGCTCGCCCTCTCGGTGTGGCAGCGCTGGCACTGTAAGGCTAACTGTTGTTTAATACAGCAGCCCCTGGGACTGGAATTCTGCAAAGACACCAGGGGAAGCTCTGCTGCAATGGCACATTAGCTTTGAGGTGAAGGGCAGCATCGGAAATACAATACCCAGTCTGAATTCAGGCAAACAACATCATCTGCTGAACTGCCTTCATAAACACGCACGTCAGATTTGTTTCACCAGATTTCACTTCTTCCAGTAATTAAGTAGACAAATTACTTGGAATGTGAAAAATCAGGCAGGTCTGGCCCAGGTTTGTTTTCAATAACAAAATCCCAGGCCATGTGTTTGCTGAGAAACATGTACCAGTATTTAAAGGGAACCTTGGCTGGGTATACTGTTGTTTCCCTCTCTCCTGCCCATGTCCTGTGAATTGTGCTGGAATTTTGGCATTTATCAGAATAGGTGTAAGTGAAGGAGAGGCAGATGCTTTCTCCCTCTCTTGACCCAATGCTGGCGGGTATGTATCAGTGGGTCACTCCATGATCCACTTCAGATGAATTTAAAACCACCTCAGAGCTCAGAGATTAGTCCAGTCCATAGGAACTGGAATAAGTCACAAAATGCCCATGGTCCCTTGGAAAATCAGAAGGTAGCCAAACTGAAGCGTTGGTGTGCACAGGCTTACAGGAAAGTTTCCACTAGGATAGCATATTCTCCCCATGAGACCTTTTGGCTCTCCAGGCATTTCCACTCAAGATATTTTGGTCACAAGCACCCTCTTCCCCGAGAGTGTCCCCAGGTTAGTGACCACTTACTTCTCAGAAACGTTTCCCTAGTAGTGGCCTTTCCACACAGACTGGAGCCAAACATCAGTCCCCCATGTCCTCACATTCCTGACGCAGCTCCCTGATAGTGTCTCCTCTCTGCCTGAGCTTTTTTTGTCCCACACGCTGCCATGTGTACCGTCCTAGATAACTGACTGACAGCCAGCATACTCCTAACTGTTTCAACACATACACTACAAGCCTTTCCCACAGGCTCTCAACAAGGCAATTTTCTCAGCTGAAATAGCCTGAGCTGTGTTTTAACGAGTCCATTAAAAACAAACCAAACCAAAACACGCCCACTGAGCACCAACCTTGAAAAGGCACCCAGACCTGTCACCCCAAACTTCAAGTGAGCACCTCTGATTCTGTTAGGAGGGGAGTGGCCCTATCCACACCCACACCGCTCTAATGGCATAAACGTGCCAGGTCTAACTGCAGACCGGCCTTTCGAGGGAAACCAGCTTTGCACCTCCGGCCGGGTGCACGGGTACAGGTCTCCTTAGGGGACCAGCAATGGGTGGCCATGGGAGAGCATGCCTGCGCTAAGAGAAGCCAGCCCACGGCATGCACAGCCACCCAAACAGCTCAGCTGGACGCAGCCGGCATGGCCACGCCGCAGCTTCCCCTCGGAGGTGCCCCATCCTTTTCTGCTCCCTTAGAGAAAACGGCAACTGGCATTTGGCGCTACTGGCATTAGGCCGTGTCAGGAACCAGCACTAACTCCCTTATCTCTAACCGCATAGTTAGCACGAACCAGCCTGAAGCAGACAAGATGAAGAGAAGGGCAAACCTATCTCCAGGAATAGGTGCTACACGCACGCCCCGGCTGTTGAAGTCCCCTTCAGAGCACCTCAGCCGCCGGCCCAGGGTGGGGCCTGGGGGAGAGAGCTCGCCCTCCCCATGCCTGGGGGCACGCAGCCGCTGGGGTCCCACATCTCATCCCGCAGGTAACACCGGGCGCAGAGAGAACCGCTCCCGACATTTACCCTTATACTTCCCTAAGCTTTTTCTAAGGTTCTTTCAGCAATAAGGAGGAGTAGGGAAGCAACGCAGCCTAAGAGGAGACAGAGCTGGAATAAACCCCCTGGACTGCGTTCTTTGCTGTTGTTTCTTTAATCCCCTTCTCGCTCTAAGGGTGGGCCTGGCTCGGCGAGGCCCACGGCAGGGCTGGCGGGAGCTGGAGTGCGGCCCTGCTGCGGCGTGGCTGGGGCAGGAGCCGAGGCTCCAGGGGCTGACACGGGGCCCTGGGGAGGGGCGGGAGGGCCTGCCCTGCCCTCATGGTGGCCCTGGGACCGCCCGGCCGAGGCCCAGATTCGTACTGCTGCTTAGGACTCCTGCCTTAAACAGCTGCAATGCCTTGCATTTTATTTCTTGCGCTTCCCTCCGGAAAACTGGTTTATCTCCCGCTCCTTGGGCAAGAAAATTGAAGAAAATGTTTCCGAAACGAAGTCCGAATAAAGTGCCTGTGCAGGTGCATGTCTGTGCATTACTGCTGAAGTGGGACAGCCTACAGTCAGGGTCATCCAGCACCGTCCTTTACAAGATCCTGGTTTCAGGAATTTGAAAGCTGTCAGATCAACTGCCCAGGCTGAAAGTTTCCATAATGGATGCCTATCTCAAGGTGATTTACAATTACATAAAGGCAAAAAAATAGGCAAAGGAAGAACATATTGTCCCTTCGAGGCAAGGAAAATAATAGAACATACCTTGTTTTGCCCATCTTCTGAAATTCTTACAGAGCTTCAGCATCTCACACACTGCAGAGTGCAGAGATTATAAATTTGCAGAGCAAGAAGTAGGACTGCTCAATGGCAGGGATGTTTCTCTTCCAGTTCCTGTGTAAACCTACAAACATTTGGCCAAGCTATGTACCCTTAAAAAAGCCTGTACGTGTTCAGCAGCAGACACTTACACCCAAACTCCCCGATGTTGTATCAGGAACAGATAGGCTTCTCTCCTCTTTGCTCTCTACAAGCCAAGAATTTCTCCACTGAGCAACCAAGCATACTCCAGTCGTGGTAGGTAAGGCTGAGCAGGGACTGTTTCCATTATACAAACTAAGAGCAAGATGTTGTTTGTCCAGTGCTCCAAAATTTCTGCTGTTTGTGCCCAGACATGAAAGCAAGAGTCAGATCCAAACAATGAGGGCTGAAGGCCAGCTGGGCAGATCAGCAAAAGACAATGGCAGATGAGGACAGGTTTGTGAAACTATACAAATAAATAGTAACAATGAAAAAATAGCCTGTGCCAAGTGGCTGGAGACTCAGTATCTGTGACTAATTGGGTATTTGTTCAGCTAGGGAATGCCAAACTAACACCAAATCCCACAACCCCATAGCAAAGCCAGGAAACTGAAAATCTTGTTTCATTTGCAGTTGAAATTGAAAAGCTAGCAAATAATAACAGGAAATATTCCTTTTCTCTTTCCATTTCCTCTTCCATTTCCTTTTCCCTCTCCTCTCCTTTCCGTTCTTGCCAGAGACAAACCTAGAAGCAACACAGTTACTGAAATGACATTTGCTGCAGTAGACTTACTGTTTGGGTTTGGAACTCCAGAAACAATGTCTTTGCTGTCGGGGGTAAGGGCACCATAATTCGGATGGTGGTGGTGATGACGGTGGTGGTGGTGGTGCCTTGCAGGAATTTTTGTGGCGTAGGGTGTCCCACCATTCTCCTCAATGTTGAACTGATGCAGATCACTGTTGTTCAAGGGATAGCTACAAAATAAATTCAGTTCAAATTAGAGCAGTAAGTCACAGGACAAATTGTACGTTTGAAAAGATAGAGGGCAAACTTTCTTGGGAAAGAAACGCACAGCTTTTGTGTAAATAAAATTTTTAACAAGGTAGATCCCAAATCTTTACAGTTTTCTGTTAACAGGAGGCTCATAAAAGAATGCCTCTGCTTGTTTGGCATGACTTTACTATCAGAATTATTTCTGATTTCACACACTACACAGACTCTGCTAGACTCTTACACTAAGTCAAATTGTGACTTACAGAATATGATTCTCAAAAACATCAAAATTTGTCCTGCAGGAATTTGTAAGTTCACCTGGGATAGGAAAGTGGTCAGGCAACAAACAATAACTCCTTTAAAGTGAAACTGTCAGAAGAGCAGACCAAGGAACAGTCCCAGAATAACATTACCTTCCTGAGAAAGTTTGGGCCTCCAAATTTACGGTGCAAAATAGCTGTATGAAAAACTTGTGACTTGAGAAAAAAATGGAGGAAGATCCCATTAGAAATAAAAAGTTTTAAAGGTAACAGCATACAAAACACCACCTGGTCAAAAAGGAATCATACCTATGCTGGTAAACTAACTTTTTTTTTTTTTTTTTGCATATGTTCAGTCAGGAGATTAACTGTTTTCAGTCTACAATACATGGAGAAATGGAGACATATCGAAATTTTAATTCATCATCTCTGACTCAGAGATGTCAGATGACACTGTTAATTTTCTTCAGTAGTTTTAACTGATGCCATTTCAGTTTATTGTTTGAAATGATGATGAATTTCTAGAAATTATACTTTATCTCCATGCCAGCAACCAAAAAAGACTGAAATAAATCTACCTAGATACTGCAAATAACTTGAATGCACTTTCCTCAGAGGAGTGCTCAAGATCTTTATAAGATTTTAACTTATTCTATAGTATTGCATTAGACAGTAGTTGCAGTAAATCAATTCATTCCAAGAAAAGATGAATCCCCTGCCCATTTGAAAAATGCCAAAGAAATTACATCTTCAGCTGCATGGGTTTTCAGTTTGCTTTTATTACTAACAGCAGCTGAAAACCTGACAATATGGAATAAGGACAAACAGAATAATTAAAGGAACAATGAATACATTATACCTAGCTACTTGCTGCATATGCTCTCTGAAGATTACTTACTGATTCAAAGCAAAATTAACCAGTCATCTGCAACTAAACACATCTGTATCATTTCCAAAGATATGCTGAAGCATGCAACTTGGTACATCATTAATAACCACTGTCTTCTTAGCAACAGCTTCTGACAACATGAGGTTCTTCGACTGGGTAGTAACCGAATAACACTTTTATGCTAGTTATCTTTTTGAAAGCAGGAGGCGGGGAGGGGAATGTTGTGTATATTAATCTTGGCAGGTTCCCGGCATGTAGCAATGACTGCCAATAAAGGCACTTCTGATGTCTTATTTGCCTTAAGGAAACATTACAAATAGGTGTCTGATCCACAGGGTACAGCTTTGGTGAGCTCAGATAATCCAGGACTGGTCTGTTTTTTGAAGCTGCACTGTATCTTCACTGTTATAATCCAATCAAACAAATGCCTACGGGGGGAAAATGGTACAGCCTAATTGGATTGCACACTAATTGTAACAGCTCTCCTTGCACTCTCCCTTCAAGCACCTTGGATTGAAGGGACATTTTTTGCCTGAAAAGATAGCTGGTTTTGTTCACACAGTTAAAACCCTTATTGGAAATAAGATCAGTTTTGGGCTGGAGCCTCAGTACATCTTTTTTTTTTTTCAGTTGATGATTCAATCTTTTTTCAAGACACAAACCCCCATGTGCTTGAGAGTTGCTTTCAATTCACCTGCTGGCCGGCTGGTTTAGAAGATTTTTGACTGGTCTCTCAAAATGAATGAGATCCCATCAAATCCTTACATTGACTCCTCATATTGCTATGGGCATGAAGTAGCTTCCATGCTAAAATGGGAATGAGCTGAGCAACTGAATGAGCCAAATCTCCTCTGGCACAAGGTCAGACATGCAACAAATCCTCTAGACATATTTCTTGTCTGTCCAGAGTCAAGAGCTCACACCATGTAAAATGCAGGGAGACCATTATTTCAAAGAAGTTAAAGAGCTAGCCCGGCAAAGCTCATGTTCAGGTATGCACTGAAATCCTCGAGGACAGTAAGTCACAAAGCTCCAGTCAGGAGGTCTATATCCAAGCAGCACACTCTGACATGAAATCCCGTGTTGAAACTGCTGGCCCATTTAAAAGGATGCGGACATCTGCACTCTTCCAGGGCTGACAGCAGCTAACAGATATTGAGGCAAACTTGTCTCAGTGATCAGTCAACTTTTGAACTTCTGATGGATATGGAGTTGGGCTGAGGAAGACTTTTGCACCCATACCCTCACTACTAGACTGAGCAGTTATTGAACAATCACAAACAACAGGGCTTGCAGCAGCCCCAGAGCCAGTCTACTAGAAGAATTGACAGTACCCAAACAAAAATATCATGAGTAGTCCAGATCCGTTTTCTGTGTACTCTCTACTATATAATTTATGGGCACATTGGACATCCTAGTCCAATTTCTACAAGGTAGTATCAATACTATCATATATCGCATCTGTTTTTCACCTATTAGTTTTCTGTTCTACTATCTTAAGTCTAGAGACTTGAGACTTTTCTCCTCAGTGCATCTTTTTGCCATTAACTTTTCTTTCTATTACTTGCTTCTGTCTGGCTTACCTTAACTACCTTAATGTGCTTACGGATCCTTCCCAATCCACTGATGCAAATAAATCACCGCTTTCAATGAACCAACTTTCTGACCGTACCCCAAGCCCCCCAGGTTTTCATACTTGCTCCCCAGACATCAAGTAATGCTCTCAGACTATGTGCATACATGACCGGGTACGTTTTCATTCTTTCTCTTGTAGTTGTCTTTTGGCCCTCCCTAGTATGCCAGTGTTACACCTTTGTTTTCCCTTTTAATAGTCAGCTGGCTGTTCTGCAGGTTTCCTTTTTTGCCTCTGTTATTTACCTCTGCAGTTTTCTCAACAAGCTCCAGCTGCTTCTTGTACGACCAACCCCTGTCCTTCAAGGAAAATGAGGCAGGGCCCTATAGGCTATTACATAAACAGAGAAAACACTCCTTCCTTCTCTGTCCCTCCCTCTGGCAAAGCACTCCTGAGGAGTCAGTTACCAGAGGCTGAACCTTCCAAAAAGCCACTCAAAGTTCACAAAACACTTGGTATTGGCTTTTGCCTCAAACTCACATCATTGCTTTCTTCTGACCAAAAAAGCAGCATATTGAGGAACAGGGCAAATAACATGTATCTTCTGATTCCTTTTTCCATTTTTGAAATTTTATTTACATTACTAGCTCTCTATCTCAATTTTATACTCCTCACCATTTGATTTGAAAGCTATTTTCAGCTGACATTCTCACGTTTCACGTGCTCCAGTCATCTACTGCCTTACCAATCTGTGCCTCTAGCATACAACTCACGCATACAACAGTGTTAAGAGATCGTAGAAAAATGGGGAACAGAAAGGTATTTGAAAGACTGAATTATCCACTTCTGTCCTCAAAACCGAACTAAGCAAGCCTATGTTACCCCAAGTAACTGGCTGAATTGAATCTTCAACACCTTCGCTATCAGAGCCTCCATGACCTCTCTGTGCAATCACTGTTCCACCATGCCTACACTTACTTTCTTTGTTTATCCTGTCTCCTTTACTGCAATTTAAGACTGCCAAAGAGCTCTGAATTCTTCAGTTGCCCCTCACATGTCACACATTTCCTACAGTTCTGATACATCTTACCATCCCCATCTGCCCAGCTGCTCTGCCTCCAACATGTGGTGCTCAGAACTGGGCACCCCGTTCCAGCTGAGACCTTGCAAATGCATTGCAAAGAGGAAGAGTTGCTTCCCAAGTCCTGTGGGATCTACTCCTGTTTATACACTGGAACATGCCATTTGCTTTTTCCTAAGTAGTCTGGGGTTCTTGGCCCATGTTCAACTTCTGACCTGCAAGAACACCAGATCCTTTCCTAAACTGGCCAGGTTTCCAGCCCCCCAAGACCTCAGCTGTGAAGCAGGTTAACCCTACCTAACAGCATAAACATACTATCGTTCCTCCTGAGCTGCATCCTAAACTTTCTCATATACTAAGATCATAACTCTTTCAGGGCTCTCCCCTCATCCACGACAGGCCTGGTGTGAGAGAACTTCCCATTTTGGTGTAACCTCTGAGTGATGAGGTTTTTTTAAAAAGTAATTGCCTTTCCGTGCTATCCTCCCAGGTGCTATCCTCATTCTCCAGTAGAATGTAACCATGTAGCCCTGCAAAAACACCCTTCACCTGTGTCCCAGAGCAGGCTTACCCCTGCACCCTGTCTGTGACCCCTTCTTCCACACTCTTGTAGGCATCTCTCACCCATATGAAGTTACACTCGGAGCGCAAACAGTGGGGCTCTGCTCTCTCCCCTCCTTGGGGAGGCTGATGGGGCAGTAACAGAAATCAGGCTCAAACTATCGTGCCTCTTGGATGACCCTGCACTGAGTTTAGAGTCTCCCTGCTATAGCTGAACAGTGGTTTAAAAAAAATCCCAGGCTTCTAGGTCTGCTTACAATAAATAACCTTCAACAATTACCACACTCACCTCTATTCTTTGCTTTGAACGGTGCTTCTGCACCAGACTGCTGCAAGTGTCTAATATTTAAAAATCCTCAAACTTTACACAAACATCTTCATAACCCCTCTCAATCGTTCCCCATCCACAGCCCAGAGCAAGCCTGACAGTAATTTGTGCAGCTTTTGGCAACTCAAATCCACACTGCAGGCTTTGTGCTGAATGTGTTGGAAGGCTCCCCCAACCACTTCGCTCCCTAATAGGAGACATTTCACCCATCACCTTATTGTAACAATACCTTCTCCAACATTGAAATGGGCTTCAGAGGTTTAGATGTGCTCCCAAATGGCAGTCAGGG